TTGTCCCGCTGGAGATTCTGGTTTTAGCGCTGAATTAGGGTAAAAACCACTTGATTCAAGCAATTATTAGCTCATGTTTGATCTTTTTTGCAGCGTAAACGTTAGACTCTAGAGGAAACTAGACCAGATGTTGTGTTTCAGCGACCAGAGAAGTCTATCTTTTATTTTGAAGAGGCCGCGTATGTGAGTTCCGGTGCGCGTTCACGATCTGCGCGGGCGTGAGGAGGAGGCGCACAACTGGACAGAAACGCAGAATTCAACTTCTGTCAGGACTCATTCACTGCAAAAAACTCTTCAAGCGTTCATCACTTTTCACCTGTTTTAATATTTGTATTTTAAATATTTGTGCTAAAACTTGAACTTTTTGTCTTATTTTATTATTTGAATGTTTTTGATCCTTTTCGAGTTAAAACGTAATAGTGGTAAGTTTTTATACTTCTATGTCTTATAGTAGTATTTGCGGTATTTTAGTACTTTAAAATACTTTGTTTTCAATTCTTTTGTCTCATAACTTTACTTTTGGTACTTCTTCCTTGTGTAGTATTTGCAGTATTCGCAGTACTACAAACGGTGCCTTTTCCTGTGTTCTAAAATGGGACTTTTTATCTTTTAAAATATATATTTAGCATTTTTTGATCATTTTGGTGTTAATTAGTTGTGTTTTAGTCTGTTGTACGCACAGTGCAGTCGGGGTGTGATACTGTAATGAGGGCGTAACATGTTTTTGATCTTTTTACTCTTTTATGTTGTTATTGTTTATGGCCAGTGGGATCCTAAAGTGTTGCTGACGAGACTCTTTATAATGTTTTAATGATCCTTTTACTCCAATAAAGCCTCAGTATGTAAAGAAATGTTGTTGTTTTTTTAATTTTTAAAACAATCCATCACTTTAAAAACATGTCCTGAAAACACCTTAAATACACTTCAAAATAACTTTATTAGTATTGCACACATACACAAGGACATTCATAACAAGATGGAACCAGTCACACAAAGACTTAACATCATAATGATCACAGTAAAGAGAGTGAAGCAGGAGGCCAGTCCCTGTGCTCCTCTGAGTCCCAGCAGGAGGCCAGTCCCTGTGCTCCTGCTGGGCGGCACGGTGGCTGAGTGGATAGCACTCTTGCCTCTCAGCAAGAAGGTCCTGGGTTCGAATCCCGGCCGGACCAGGGCCTTTCTGAGTGAAGTTTGCATGTTCTCCCCGTGTCTGCGTAGGTTTCCTCCGGGTACTCCGGTTTCCCCTACCACTAAAAATATGTACAATAGGTCTGGCATGCGCCTCCTGTTCGGCGACCCCGCTCCCATCTCTGTGTGGAGTGAGAGGACAAGTGCCCAAAAAAAATAACAATTGTAAACCGCTTTATGACTCTGGTCTGTGAAAGGCGGTATATAAATAAAGCTTACTTACTTACTTACTTACTTACTTACTCCTCTGAGTCCCAGCAGGAGGTCAGTCCCTGTGCTCCTCAGAGTCCCAGCAGGAGGCCGGTCCCTGTGCTCCTCAGAGTCCCAGCAGGAGGCCGGTCCCTGTGCTCCTCAGAGTCCCAGCAGGAGGCCGGTCCCTGTGCTCCTCAGAGTCCCAGCAGGAGGCCGGTCCCTGTGCTCCTCAGAGTCCCAGCAGGAGGCCAGTCCCTGTGCTAAGTCCAAAAGTTTTAGGGGGAGATGTGGTAAAGACATTTGTGAGTGTGTTTTGTGTGTTTTCATGAGGACAGTGAGAGTAGAAAGGGAGAACAGAACCACAGACGATGGTTCTCACTTTTGGGTTTGTGTCGACATCACTCTCACCAAGTGATGCAACAAGTTTACTTCTTGTTCTAGCCTGGTCTTACCATGTGTAAACTCTGGTCCATGATCATTCTCCTACATGTACGTCTGGTCTTACCATGTGTAAACTCTGGTCCATGGTCATTTCCTACATGTACGTCTGGGTCTGATCCTAGTGGCTGCAGTTTCCTCGGTTGAATCCCCTCCGACCAATCAGAGAGCGGGGGAGGCGGGTGTTGTAGGTCGGTGTCGGTGACGTCCAGAGTTTGTGCTGAATTTTCTGGTTGTAGTTTGTCGGAGAATGCGATAGTAAAATAATCTGTTCTGGTTCAATCCAAATATCAAGAAACTGAAGCCGGAGCAAGAGGAATGTTTAGTAAATGTCACTGCTGCAAAGATGTTGTGGCTCTACTCCCCACGGGCTCCGTTAGCGGAAAAGGAGATGGCTAAAGCTAGGCTAAATGCTAAAGCTAGGCTAAATGCTAAAGCTAGGATAAAGGCCTCACTCACTCGGGTTCTTTACATACGTCACAGTAAACTCGGATTCAATGGTTTCCATCTGCAAAAGAAGTTAACCCCTCCCACCTGTTAACGGACCAAATCCAGACCTTAGTACAAAATGAAATTAGTATGATGGTGTGGTAAGACCAGGCTAATTCTCTTGCATTGATTAACTGAGATTTTTCAATATTAGTTTATTACAGTTTTTCTCAGTCGCTTTGGTGCATTTCTCACATCATTCTTCACATTTGCACAACTGTTGGTGCATTTCTGAGAACAATTAGTGTAAACTGCAGAACCTCGTGGAAAACCTGCAAAAGTGCGTCACTTTCTCAAAATTAAAAGTTTTTTCCTCAAAAGCAAGTCCAAACGGTAATGAAACTGTCTATGTCGTGAAAATAATATGTCCTAACAACATTGAGTATGAACATCACAGTCAAATGACTTAGTCATGTTTTCATTGTGAAAGTTTACTCTCTCTGTGTTTTCAGTGTAAAAAAGTCAGATCTCGGTGACACTTGAGCACGACACACTATACACGACCTGTGCAGCCATTTACAGTAAAAACTACAGTAAAGTTACACAAAGACTGTATTTAGAGACGTAACTGACATATATGTATGTGTGTGTGTGTGTGTGTACTGTATGTATGTATGTACTGTATGTATGTATGTGTGTATCTACTGTATGTATGTGTGTGTGTGTGTGTATCTATGTATGTATGTACTGTATATATGTATTGTATGTATGTACTGTATGTATGTACTGTATATATGTATTGTATGTATGTACTGTATGTATGTATGTGTGTATGTATCTATGTATGTATGTACTGTATGTATGTATGTATGTATGTATGTATGTATGTACTGTATGTATGTATGTCTGTATGTATGTACTGTATGTATGTGTGTATCTATGTATGTATGTACTGTATGTATATGTATGTGTGTATGTATGTGTACTGCATATGCTCTTTGTATTTTTGTTGCACAATGCTGTAGAAGTGCAGACACATACATGTATATACATAGAACAAACATACAGAAATATCATTATGGTAGAACTGTGACAAAAATAAACAATAAAGCACACCTCAGAGTGAAGCTGAAATTCACCTGAGATAAATTGTTAAATTTAGGCAATATTTACAGGAAAAAAAAGATAAAGGAATGTATGAAATTAGCTTGACAGTTATGATTTTGAGAACTAGTTTTTGTATGTGATGACCAAAGTGATGAAATGAGAACAGTTAGTTTTATAGTGAATGACTATTCAGAAGTCATAAGTATGTTTCATTCTGACTGACAGGACAGAAGCAAATGATAATGTTAAAAAAACGCCGAGAATTGTTTGAAAGTTATTGATACATGAACGAAAGCATTTGAAATGTGTTCAGAGGAATGAGAAACTGCCGTGATGATGTGCACCAATGACCCAATGTTGTGGAGGTTGAACTAATAGTTTTGAGAAGTTTAAGTCTGATGTGAGAAATGCACCAAAGCAACTGAGAAAAACTGTAACCACACAATACCCCCACTGTCGGACAAATAAAGGTTCTCTTCTCTCTCATGTCAACATAACAGGCTCAAATGTCTTCAACTTCTGCTTCAAGCCACATAAAGGGTCCTTAGACTAAGCCTGATAGGGAAGTGCTCATTGACAAGGTTTTGCTTCTCCTGTTTCACTCTCTTCGCATTGAAAACATGTACTTCTGAATGTGCTGGAAACGGCAGCAAGTCTTAAGCAGCTCTGAAACAGCTCCATGGTCTGGAATCTGCGCCAAATCTGGGGATAGCAACTACCTAGAGCCACTACTGGTACTGGTATGTTCCAAATTTCAGGGGCAGGAGCATAGACTAAGTACTAACAGATGTAGTCACGCCTATCACTAGCGCCATTCATTTAACGAGTGCATTCAAAAGTCCGCAGCGGCTAAACTAGACTGGTCCAAAAAAAAACAAAAAACATATTCTCCCCTCAGCATCGACAGCGTCTTGGACCAAGAGCTGACTTTTACACCATCCTGTAAAGAGGCTTTTGAGAGGAAAGAAGACGCCATACAAAAGCTTTGGGTAATTCTCTTTCCAGGTACACCCCCACCGACCCGGAGTGGTATTGCAGCATGTCAGCGCACGTGCTCATGGACCTTTTGGAGCCAGGACCCGCCCCCACTGGAAAAGGAGGCATCTGATTGGTCCAGTTATTGGAGGATAATATCTGGATTAAGCCGGGATTATGTTGATTTGTAGAGAGGTAAATGGATGGATGGATAGATACAGTAGATAGATAGATAGATAGATAGATACTTAGATAGATAGATAGATAGATAGATAATAGATAGATAGACAGATGATAGACAGACAGACAGATGATAGATACAGTAGATAGATAGTGTGTGTACCTCCTCACTGCCAGTGTGTGTACCGCCTCACTGCCAGTGTGTGCACCATAAAATCCTAGCTTAACCCTTAATTTTCTGATCAGAGCTGCAATGTGCATTTTAAAAGATAGTTCAGAGTCAATAACAAACCCCAGATACTTGAAACTATCCGCACAATCAATCTTACCCTGAGTGGTGAAAATTCCAGGAACACCCTCCTTTCTTTCTTTTTGATTTTAAAATATCATTAGTTTTGTTTTTTCAGCATTCAAGACTAGTTTCAAGGAATGCAGACAAGACTGTACAATATTAAAAGCATTTTGTAGTTGCTCGTAGGCCTGTGTTGAAGATGTGGAGCAACAGTGAATGACAGTATCGTCTGCATAAAGGTCATTGGGAGGTCATCACACAGATTGTTCACATAAGTTGAGAACAACAGAGGGCCTAAAACTGAACCCTGTGGAACTCCCTTAGACACTTCTAAAAAGGAGGAAGTTGACCCAGATACTTGAACTCACTGTGACCTGTTTGACAGTTAGTCCGTGAACCACTCGGCTGCTTGGACGGAGACGCCCATTATGGAAAGAGTTTCTATCAATAACCTCTGGTCCACAGTGTCAAACGCCTTGGAAAGATCAAGAAACAAGGCGGCACAGTATTTTTTGCAGTCAAGGGCACTTACAACATCATTTAAAACTTTCATGGTGGCTGTGACAGTGCTGTGCTTCTTCCTGAATCCCGACTGAAATTCATTAACAATGTTGTTGTTTTCAAGGAAGGATCTTAACTGACTGCAAACAGCACTTTCAAATATCTTAGCCAAAACACATAGTTTGGAGATAGGACGGTAATTGTTTACGTCAGATGGGTCACCTGTTTTCAGAAGCGGCAGCACAAAAGCAGATTTCCATACTTTAGGAATCTTGTGACTGGTAAGACTCAGATTAAATATTTGTGACAGGGCCAATTTTAAAAACAAAGCATCCAACTTATCTGGACCAGCTGCTTTTCTGGTGTCAAGATTTAGTAAAGCTTTGTGCACCTCAGAGGATGACACCATGGAAAATGAAAATGTTTGTGCTCTAGAGGCTAAGTTAACATGCGACCCATCTCTGATTATCACAGCCGGAAGAGCACTTGACTGCGTTGAACCAAACGTAGATTTAACAGTTTTCCAGAACTTCTTTGGATCATTTAAATTTCTTGTCATTTTTGTAAGGTAAAATTCAGATTTAGACTTTTTTATCAAAGATGTTTTATCATTTACAGGCAGAAAAAAGCAAGAAAAAAATAACGAATGTAAAAGACAAAACAACTGTTTCAGAGCGACTCAGGACTCGCTGCAGTGCTGATGCTAATGTTTTTTTTAACTGTTTTTAACCGTGTTTGAACAGTGTCCTGGGTGTTTTAAACGGTGCTTTTTAATCAAATGTCGTTTTATTATTATTATTAAAAGTAAACAAAGCAAAATAACAGTAGCATTATAAAAACTCTGGTAACCAAATGTGTCTTCTTCTTCATTCTTCTGATCTTGTGTTTAGTGAAATCCCCTTCTGATGTTTGCGTTTCTCTCCTCTCAGCTCGTTCTTTACATATATTCTTTTACAGGAAACGTAATACTCAGTTCCATTATTTCAAAAAAGGGAACTCTCTCTCACTCGCTGTTTGAAGTGAGACGCAGACCAAGCACCGAGCCACAGCCGCAGCCACACTCGACCCGCGGTAAAGTACTTTTACTCTTCATAGATTAACTAAAGTATCGGGCTTGTATGAAATGGACGTTGTAGATGAATGGATGAGTGTGTTCAGTCTAGAGCCGCAGAGAAGAGAGAGAGAGACGGTTCTGTATCTGATCTTGCTCTTGTATTGAAGCTGTTTTTGTTGAGACCAGAAAGAGAGAGAGATAGACTAGAGAGAGGTCAGAGAGAGACCAGAGAGAGACCAGAAAGAGACCAGAGAGAGACCAGAGAGAGGTCAGAGAGAGACCAGAGAGAGACCAGAAAGAGACCAGAGAGAGACCAGAGAGAGGTCAGAGAGAGACCAGAGAGAGACCAGAAAGAGGCCAGAGAGAGACCAGAAAGAGACCAGAGGGAGACCAGAGAGAGGTCAGAGAGAGACCAGAGAGAGGTATCAGAAGTTATTAAAGGACTCGAAAATATTAGATAATAGATGTTTTACCAGCTGTGCTGGAGGAGGAAGTGCCCTCACGGACTTTAGTATTTCAATGTTGTCTTCCAAACCCTGAGGACCGAGTCTGAACCCTGAGGACCGAGTCTGAACCCTGAGGACCGCGTCTGAACCCTGAGGACCGAGTCTGAACCCTGAGGACCGAGTCTGAACCCTGAGGACCGAGTCTGAACCCTGAGGACCGAGTCTAAACCCAGAGGACCGAGTCTGAACCCTGAGGACCGAGTCTAAACCCAGAGGACCGAGCCTCCACTGCAGCTGCCCCCACTCTCTGGAACTCACTCCCACAGCCCTCAGAAACTGTGACTCACTACAGAACTTTGCCAATCTGTTTCAGCTTTCCTTAATTTTGTTTCTTCAATGATTATTTTTATGTTTTGTAAAGCGTCTTTCAGTGTTCAAAGAAAATGAAGCTTAAGCGCAAAATCAGTGTGGAAGACCTGAGAACCCAGCTCTGAGCGCTCCTCCTGTCGCCCACAGCAACAGTAATCTGTCAATCACAGTCAGCTGCAGCGCCTCACACAAGCCCTCACCTGCAGCATCAGGAAGCTCCATCCAAGCAGCAGCTTCACTCACGCCGCAACCCTCCTCCTCCCCATCTCCGCCTTGTTCCAGGCCAGCTCCTTCTTCCTTCTCCTCGCTCCCACCACCAGGGTCTAGGCCCCGGGGGATTTCATCTCATAATCTCCTTCTCCTTCTGCAGTCGTGCAGCGCTCTGCCGGGGTCTAAGCGCCAAATCCCAACCACATTCTGTTTCAGCTCAATAAATGTAATCTTGAAAATATTGTCTTTGGTGTCATATGTGTAATTCATGCAGTGTCAGATTACTTTCCAACCAATACAATTCTAATCCTATGTTTTGCCTGTTCGAGTCTCTCCAGATGGAAACAGCTATTTAATGTATTATTAAGATTATCTGTCGGTGGATCTGTCTCTCTACTTATGTATCTATCTTTCTATATCAATGCGCCTTCTATTTTCAGATTATGGATCTAAAACCGAGATTAACCACCCCCCAATTCACCACTACCATCACCGCCCCCACCACTGCCCCCCCGCCTCCAGAGTCCAGGACAGGTCTCGCCGTCGGCCTGTCCCTGTTCTTCGTTCTGCTGGTGGTGGGAGCAGTGGGAGGTTTTTTGGCGTACAGAAAGTTCGGGAAGCTCCGGAGGGTCCTGAGCTTCGGGTCCAGGCGGAGGATCGAGAAGGAGCGGGACGCCGTGAGCAGAGAGGCCCCCAAAGTCATCCGGGAAAACCACACGGTCCGTTCAGAGATCGCCAACGCCAATGCCGCCGCCACGCCCATCTACGAGAACGTGGTCCGGATCCAGAGCTCCCGCAACACCCCTGCAGCCAGGTAAAGATCTGCTACCTGTCTGTTATCGGCCACACCTCTGAAGCTAAGCAGGACAGGGCAGGGTTAGTACTGTGATGGGAGACCTCTGAACCGACAAACTGTAGTTTTTCTTAGTTAAAAATATGATGTTCATGATATTTATGTTGATGATTTTTTGCAGATTAACAGATTATCCAATTAAAGAGCAGACTGGGTGAAATTTGGCCACAGTTTCGGACTTTTTCTCCCATTGACACCCTCATAACACACCTTGTTTTTTAATGCATCACAAGTGCACACAATTGCAGCAACACACACACACACACACATACACCTATATCTGTATGATGAATCTTATATAAACATAGATTGGCAGTGTTTCTCTATAAAGCAATCCGTCCCTTCCTTGCTTGATGCTTCTAATAAAAGATTATATAGAAAAAGAAGACAGGAAGATGTAATTATAATTGAAAATACTTAATTAGACCGGAAAGAGTCCATATTCCATCCTGTCCCTAAAAAGTAGTTCTCTGGTGTAGTTGTAATCGTCAAAATTCCGGTGTTATGTGTTACAGCTTGACAGCCACCCCCCCGACCCAGAAATGGACTAAGGGCTTGGAAATGGATAGATGGAAAGTCCTGTTTATGTAATGACTGAAACCCCTAAAAGTGACTGTGTCTGTAATGCTGAGTCAGATGCAGGACTTCCCTCCAGAATGCCCTGTGTGTTGTAACCATGTGTGTGTGTGTGTGTGTGTGTGTGTGTGTGTGTGCGTGTGTGTCACAGATCAAACCCTCCCCCTGAAGATGACCTGTATTTACAATGTGACGCAATGGACGCAATCTACACCAACGACCCGGCCTGCAGTTCCCCCTCCCACCACCAGGACGACGACACCTACATCCTCCCTGACTCCTGAACAAAGCCTCAGAGCAGATGACGGAATAACACGGATTTGGGATCGTTTTTGATGCAGATTTTGTCACGTTCTTTGATGTATCTATATATTTATCAACTGAGCAGAGGTGGAAAAAGTGTGTTTTTAAGTAACAGTAAGAGTCAACATTGGTAAAAGTAAAGAAATTGAAATGAATTACTTATTTTTAATAAACTGTTTTCAAAGTTCTGTGGTTTGAGTGAGAACAGTCAAAATGACGGTGAGAGATCAGAGAGAGACCGGATAGAGAGACCGGAGAGAGACCAGAGAGAGACCAGAGAGAGAGACCAGAAAGAGACCAGAGAGAGAGACCAGAGAGAGACCAGAGAAAGATCAGAGAGAGACCAGAGAGAAACCGGACAGAAATCAGAGAGAGACCAGTGCGAAAGAGAAAGCAGATAGAAACCAGAGAGAGAGACCAGAGCAAAAAAGAGACCAGAGAAAGACCAGAGAGAGACCAGGGAAAGACCAACTGACAGGCCTCGAGTTTGACACCTGTGATGTATAGATCAAAACACAACCATGTCTTGAACAGTTCCCACAGTCCTTACATTAAATGGACCCCACATGATGAACACATGAAGTCTGTTCCTGTGAAGCCTCTAACATGTTGTAATGACTGCAGTGTCTCGCACGACTTCCTCATAACCGCAGACTATCTGTACTTAAGGTCTGTGGCCGGCTTACTTTTATAGACCAGCCTCAGATCTATAGGTCAGTTACTCAGAGAAATGTTGTTTGAAAGTTAGACCCACACCCACAGCTTTCTTTCTAGACAGCATCAGTCCTGGGTCTACAGCCTCAGTCCTGGGACTAGAACCTCAGTCCTGGGTCTACAGCCTCAGTCCTGGTTCCACAGCATCAGTCCTGGGTCTACAGCCTCAGTCCTGGGACTAGAACCTCAGTCCTGGATCTACAGCCTCAGTCCTGGGACTACAGCCTCAGTCCTGGTTCCACAGCCTCAGTCCTGGGTCTACAGCCTCAGTCCTGGATCTACAGCCTCAGTCCTGGGTCTATAGCATCAGTCCTGGGTCCACAGCCTCAGTCCTGGATCTACAGCCTCAGTCCTGGATCTAAAGCCTCAGTCCTGGGTCTACAGCCTCAGTCCTGGGTCTACAGCCTCAGTCCTGGGTCTACAGCCTTAGTCCTGGATCTACAGCCTCAGTCCTGGATCTACAGCCTCAGTCCTGGATCTACAGCCTCAGTCCTGGATCTACAGCCTCAGTCCTGGATCTACAGCCTCAGTCCTGGATCTACAGCCTCAGTCCTGGATCTACAGCCTCAGTCCTGGATCTACAGCCTCAGTCCTGTGTCTACAGCCTCAGTCCTGGATCTACAGCCTCAGTCCTGTGTCTAGAGCCTCAGTCCTGGATCTACAGCCTCAGTCCTGGTTCCACAGCCTCAGTCCTGGATCTACAGCCTCAGTCCTGTGTCTAGAGCCTCAGTCCTGGATCTACAGCCTCAGTCCTGGTTCCACAGCCTCAGTCCTGGATCTACAGCCTCAGTCCTGGTTCCACAGCCTCAGTCCTGGATCTACAGCCTCAGTCCTGGATCTACAGCCTCAGTCCTGGATCCACAGCCTCAGTCCTGGATCTACAGCCTCAGTCCTGGTTCCACAGCCTCAGTCCTGGAGCAATTATAAGAATTTCTTTTGGCCCCTGACCAAAATAAGTTCAACAACCCTGGATGAATGAATGAATTTAGATAAGTATGTGTTTGTTTTGTTCCAACATGTCCGGGCAACACCTTACGGGATAACTCAATCATTCTTTCCGTGTTTCCCAACCATTATAAACACTTTTGTCCTTGCTCCTGCTCTCTCTTTCTGAGTCAAGGCCAAACCGCAGCAGATCAAAGTCACAGAAGATAACTTATCGGTCTAATATTCACAGTCATTGTCATGTATTTTATTGTAGGAACGTCCCGCTGATACAGAGATACAATAAAAACATTACACAAACATTACGGGAACACATTGGGACCTCTTAAATAAAGTTTAAATAAATAATCTATCGCTCTGCAAGTAACACCTGTTTGAAAAAAGTTGGCTAATAGCACTAGCAAGAAGGTTTGATAGGGCGTTTTTATATGTTATTTGAGTTTGCATGTTCTCCCTGTGGCTGCGTTGATTACCACTAAAAATAAAGTGCAATAGTTCAGTGTGTGTGTGTGTGTGTGTGTGTTTGTGTGTGTGTAGAACAGGCCACATTCCGGAGAGGTGTGTTGCGTTCATTAACATTATCTATTATCTGCCGACTAAACACCACAACATAGCAACAGCTTCAATGAACATTTCTCCTCATGTGTCACAATCTCCATTTTGGCCTAAAATACCCGTGATTTAACCGTGTGTGATTCTAGTTTTTATTATTTGATATTGTCGTTGTCAATCCAGATATGGCCCCGGACGACCGACCAATCAGGTGCCTTCTGTCTCTCAAAATTTGGCTTAAACGAGCGGCTAGAGTGAATGGGAAAAGACCAGTGTTGCTTCTGATTGGCTCTCTGGTTGCTAAGCTGTTACTACCCACGGATTTGGCTCCGAGATCCCACCGTTAGAGGCTGTTTAAGTTAGCACCAATCTACTTCCTCCTTTATCAAGCTCTATTCAGAAGTAGACCTATCTTTTTGTCTGCGATTAGCTTTAGCTTTAGCATAATGCATTGTTTTACGCAGAGACCTCAGTGTTTAGTGAATGTGGAAGAAGCACATAAACATTACATGAGCTAACTTTAGCCAATTCCCATGTAAGGGCATTTATGACAACGAGGTGAGCTACACGCCATCCATGTAGCAAGGGCAGATATAAACTAAGGTGTTGCTAACCTTGTTGCTTCGGCACGTTTGAGGTTCCCCTCGAATGCAGGCCTCTGATTGGCTCATATCTGGATTTGCATTTTACAAGATCAAAATAAAAACACAAGGATCATAGAAAGCACTAAAACACAATTTTATAATGGTAGAACTCTTATATTTCTGAAACTACTAGAACTCTCAGAGCCGTCACTTTGAGTTTTTGAATTTCCCCCAAAAAGTTTTGTTTTTCACTAAACGTATTAAAAGTAAGTAATTTATATTCACTTAAAAACCTTTACTCCTTTTAAAACACGTTAAAACTGATGAATATAACTTTCAATACTGTTAAAAAACGTTTGTTGAAATGCTAATGCTAATAGATCAGATGCTAACTGCTGCAGGTGTAGTTTGTCGCTATGGTAACCAGCACTTCCTCTGACCCCTGGAAAATGGCCGGTTACCAAGCAACGGAAAATGGATACATTTAAATTTAAGACAGAACTAGTTTTAGGTAAAAAAGTGAATGTTATTAAAATAAAAAAAACAAATGCCTTAGAAATAATCTAAATACCAAAACAGAAAAGGTCACAAAGTTAGGAAGCTCTGTAATGTTCATGAGATTAGTGTCCATGGGAGTAATTACGCTTCCCTAAAGTGTTGAGCCCATAATGACACAAAGGAGATACTGAGCTGGAGGAGTTTACTGCCTCCTACTGAATCAATGTAAGTCAATAGGAGTTAGACTGAGTAGGATCATCCATAAACACGTCACATTAGCCTTCACTGAGCTAGCGTGTTAGCATTGTCCATCCATTTACAGTCCATGCTTTTACGTCATCACTTAACATCTATCAATCACAGTCTACTCTACTTCAACTACTAAATTTGTTTTATTTTTGTCTTTTAATGTTGTTTTATGTCTTTACTTGTCCTGTGCACACTGGGAACTTTTACTAATGTATTCCAATGTAGTGTTACTGCAAATGGCGAATAAAATGAATCTGAATCTGACTCTTCAAAAATGTAAACAAAAGTAACTTTAAACATCCGACGTCACGCACAGTAGCATTTAGTGACTATCAGATCTTCGAACGGCGTTAGCGTTAGCCTGCCGCCGCTGTCGTAATGCATCAGCACCATGGGCTGGTAGGCGGCCGGGACACAACACGGCCGCGGGATCCCCCCTTTGGAGATCGGGGCCAGTCTGGACTTGACCTGCGTGTGCATGCTAGCCGGTCTGTAGTTCTGCGGACACGAACCCCGGCAGAAATGCATGGTGTATTCTAACGGCGCCACCACCCAGTCCGTCCAACCGATGTCTTTGAAGGACACCGTCATGGATTGGCGACAACACAGATCTCGCCCGTCACAGTCTTCTTCTTCCTTGACGGAGCGAGTAGTTCTGGTGGTTTTGCGCCCGTGCGTCAATTTTAAAGACACGGTGACATTATAATCGGGTCCTTTGTGTCCTACGTCCACAACAAAGGGTTTTCGTCCGCCGTTTCTGATCCAGTCCTGCACCTCGGAGCTCACGTCCAGGACCACGCTCTGAGACATGTTGGTGGCGTCGTTGGTCCAGGCGGCCTCTCTGCTGGACTTTGAGCCTCGGATGCGGAGTTTGACCTTTGCGTTCGGTCGTGCCAGGATTTGTCTGGACATGTAGAGCTGGGCGCGGAGCAGAGAGACTTCCTCCTGGATCCTGGGTCTGTCCCTGAACTCTGCCCTGTGCCAATGGTTGTGCTTCCTCCTTCTTAGCTCTCCGCGCTGTCGGGAATGAAGCGTGTGAACTGAAAGGCAAAGAAGAAGAAGAGAGATAAGGTTTAACGATGCAGAGATGGAGCCAGGACGGAGGGGGGCGCAAATAGGCTGTGAGACCAGAGAGAGAAACCCCCCAGAGAGAGAGACCACAGAGGGAGAAACCAAGGAGAGACCAGAGAGAGAGACCACAGAGGGAGAAACCAAGGAGAGACCAGAGAGAGACCACAGAGGGAGAGACTACAAAGAGAGAAACCAGAGAGAGAAAGAGAGAGAGCCACAGAGAGAGACCACAGAGAGAGAGACTACAGAGAGAGAGACTACAGAGAGAGAAACCAGAGAGACCACAGAGAGAGAAAGAGAGAGAAAGAGAGAGAGCCACAGACATAGACCACAGAGAGACCACAGAGAGAGAGAAACCAGAGAGAGAGAGAGAGAGACCAGAGAAAGTGACCACAGAGAAAGACCACAAAGAGAGAAACCAGAGATAGAGACCACAGAGAGAAAGAGACCAGAGAGAGAGACCACAGAGGGAGAGATCATAGAGAGATAAACCAGAGAGAAAGCAGAGAAAGAGACCACAGAGAGACCACAGAGGGAGAGACTACAGAGAGAGAAACCAGAGAGACCACAGAGAGAGAAAGAGAGTGAGAGACCCCACAGAGAGACCACGGAGAGAGACCACAGAGAGAGGTAAACCAGAGAGAGAAACCACAGAGAGAGATCACAGAGAGAGAGACCCCAGAGAGAGAGACCACAGAAAGAGACCCCAGAGAGAGAGACCAGAGAGAGAGACCACAGAAAGAGACCCCAGAGAGAGAGACCAGAGTGAGAGACCAGAGAGAGAAACCATAGAGAGACCACAGAGAGAGAGACCCCAGAGAGAGAGACCAGAGTGAGAGACCAGAGAGAGAAACCATAGAGAGACCACAGAGAGAGAGACCCCAGAGAGAGAGACCAGAGTGAGAGACCAGAGAGAGAAACCATAGAGAGACCACAGAGAGAGAGACCCCAGAGAGAGAGACCAGAGTGAGAGACCAGAGAGAGAAACCATAGAGAGACCACAGAGAGAGAGACCCCAGAGAGAGAGAGACCACACAGAGAGAAACCAGAGAGCCAGACCTCAGAGGTTGTTGATACTCAGGGAGGTCTCTCTCTTCACAGCCTTATAAACGTTTACAGTACAGTTGTATAGATATGGTCCTGTGACGATGCTTAAACATCTACACATCCAAACGGAAACGTTGACCTGATTTCTGTCTCTCTCCCCGTTTCTTTTGGGAACTGATCCTTGAAGAAATGACACATAAAAGCCTAAAATTCATAATGCCTTTTGCTTCTCTTTTTCTGTCCGCGCTCACTTTCACTTTCAGATCACTTTTACAGAGTACAGGAGATGTTAGACTAACTTCTTTATTATGCTAAAGCTAGAGCTTTTATACTAGCTTCTTTATTATGCTAATGTTAGAGCTTTTGGACTAGCTTCTTTATTATGCTAATGTTAGAGCTTTTGGACTAGCTTCTTTATTATGCTAAAGCTAGAGCTTTTATACTAGCTTCTTTATTATGCTAATTTTAGAGCTTTTATACTAGCTTCTTTATTATGCTAATGTTAGAGCTTTTGGACTAGCTTCTTTATTATGCTAAAGCTAAATATTTTAGACTAGCTTCTTTATTATGCTAAAGCTAAATATTTTAGACTAGCTTGTTTATTATGCTAAAGCTGGAGATTTTATACTAGCTTCTTTATTATGCTAAAGCTAGAGATTTTATACTAGCTTCTTTATTATGCTAAAGCTAGAGATTTTAGACTAGCTTCTTTATTATGCTAAAGCTAGAGATTTTATACTAGCTTCTTTATTATGCTAAAGCTAGAGATTTTAGACTAGCTTCTTTATTATGCTAAAGTTAGAGATTTTAGACTAGCTTATTTATTATGCTAAAGCTAGAGATTTTAGACTAGCTTCTTTATTATGCTAAAGATAGAGATTTTATACTAGCTTCTTTATTATGCTAAAGCTAGAGATTTTAGACTAGCTTCTTTATTATGCTAAAGATAGAGATTTTATACTAGCTTGTTTATTATGCTAAAGTTAGAGATTTTATACTAGCTTCTTTATTATGCTAAAGCTAGAGATTTTAGACTAGCTTCTTTATTATGCTAAAGCTAGAGATTTTATACTAGCTTCTTTATTATGCTAAAGCTAGAGATTTTAGACTAGCTTCTTTATTATGCTAAAGATAGAGATTTTAGACTAGCTTGTTTATTATGCTAAAGCTAGAGATTTTATACTAGCTTCTTTATTATGCTAATGAGAATCTTGCTCTAAACTTCATCCATTGTCAAGACACTTTCTCTTCCACTGTGTCCACCTTTCCTCATGTCATTGTTGAACTTTAATCTGAGTAACGATTACACCATGAGGGTTTCTCTCGCTCAAACAGAGATGTCATCAGACGAAACACTGACGGAATGTTGACTTTAATTCACACGAGGCTTTGAACCTGTCTCTGCTTACACAAAACCATTCACAAACACACAAGTTACTGATGGTACGTAAGATAAATTCACCTTTTCATAGTCCAGGGCTAAAGCTGCTGGTTCTGACATGAGGAGAATACAAGGGAATCCCAAAACATATAGTTTGTTTGTTTTTGTTTAAATGTGATACCAACTTATAGATATAGACTCATCACATCCACAGTGACATAACAATCTTTTAGTTTTTCTATATGTTGTAGATGTAGGCATAAAGTACATTTTCATTATATTCTAACTCCCTGAGATGATTTATGTTGGGTTTTTACAAGCTGTGGTCCAAGAGAATGTAGTTCTGAATGACATTATGTATATGTGTATTATACGTATATGTATATTATATGTATATGTATATTATATGTATATGTATTGTATAAGACCAACTTTTCTAACAACTGCTTTAAGAACATGACATTTATCTATCCATCCTTCTCTCTATCTGCTTCTGTTGAAATTATAATTATTCATTTTATTTCATAGTGCCTTTCAAGACACCCAAGGACGCCTTAAAAATATAAAAATCAGTATGAAATTATGAATAAAGCTTCTATTAAGAAAGACTTACGTGACACACTGCAAAAACTGATTAAAAAAAATAAGCAAAATGGCCAAAATGTGTCTTAATTTGAGACATTCTGACTGAGCCTTAAAACTAGATTTTCCATTGCGACAAAGAAAAATTATCTTATGTCTCCCATGGAATGAGAAAATAAGACTAAATGGCTTTGTCCCATTGGCAAATCTTGTTTTAACACAGTCAGAATGAACTAAAATTAAAGTTAAAAAACACTTGATTCAAGCAATTATTACTTCATATTTGATTAGTTTTTCCAGCGCTGTATGAAAGTGTGGTCTCTCTTACCTCTGTGTGGCAGGAGCAGCGTGGACATCCCGTCATCTCCACTCGAATTCAGACCAAATTCACCTTGTTTCTCTCTGTAAAGTCTCTGCATCTCCCATAACTCTTGGTCCGAGGCCTTCTCCTCCACGACCGGGGGCTGCTCCATCCCCAGAGAGCTCAGAATGCCTGCCTTCAACGCCTCCAACAGCTGCCTCTGATCTGCCACCTCCCCCAGAGGCCACGGAGTCTGACCACAAGCGCACAGAGCGAGGCAAACAGAGACCAGGAGAGCCGTTACGGAGGGAGAGAGCGGTGACATGCTGCCTTTCCCCTGAGCTCTCAGCGTGGAGCCGGTTTATGAATGAAATAGTTCACGTGCCTTTATTTATGCTGAGGCTCCCTTTGCCACACCCAGTCAGGTGAGGCCTCTGTCTGTGTGTCATGTGTCATGTGAGAGCAGAGAGAGAGCAGAGAGAGAGTAGAGAGAGAGTAGAGAGAGAGTAGAGAGAGAGTAGAGAGAGAGCAGAGAGAGAGCAGAGAGAGCAGAGAGAGAGTAGAGAGAGAGTAGAGAGAGAGAGCAGAGAGAGAGCAGAGAGAGAGTAGAGAGAGAGTAGAGAGAGAGTAGAGAGAGCAGAGAGAGAGCAGTGAGAGAGAGTAGAGAGAGGGTAGAGAGAGAGTAGAGAGAGAGCAGAGAGAGCAGAGAGAGAGAGCAGAGAGAGAGCAGAGAGAGAGTAGAGAGAGCAGAGAGAGAGAGCAGAGAGAGAGTAGAGAGAGCAGAGAGAGAGCAGAGAGAGAGTAGAGAGAGCAGAGAGAGAGAGCAGAGAGAGAGAGCAGAGAGAGAGCAGAGAGAGAGAGCAGAAAGAGAGTAGAGAGAGAGCAGAGAGAGAGTAGAGAGAGCAGAGAGAGAGAGAGTAAGAGAGCAGAGAGAGAGTAGAGAGAGCAGTGAGAGAGAGTAGAGAGAGAGCAGAGAGAGAGCAGAGAGAGCAGAGAGAGAGAGCAGAGAGAGAGTAGAGAGAGCAGAGAGAGAGTAGAGAGAGCAGAGAGAGAGAGCAGAGAGAGAGCAGAGAGAGAGTAGAGAGAGCAGTGAGAGAGATCAGAGAGAGAGCAGAGAGAGAGAGTAGAGAGAGCAGAGAGAGAGAGCAGAGAGAGAGTAGAGAGAGCAGTGAGAGAGAGAGCAGAGAGAGAGCAGAGAGAGAGCAGAGAGAGAGCAGAGAGAGAGTAGAGAGAGCAGTGAGAGAGAGCAGAGAGAGAGCAGAGAGAGAGTAGAGAGAGAGTAGAGAGAGCAGAGAGAGAGTAGAGAGAGCAGAGAGAGAGCAGAGAGAGAGTAGAGAGAGCAGTGAGAGAGATCAGAGAGAGAGCAGAGAGAGAGAGTAGAGAGAGCAGAGAGAGAGCAGAGAGAGAGTAGAGAGAGAGTAGAGAGAGCGTAGAGAGAGCAGTGAGAGAGAGAGCAGAGAGAGAGCAGAGAGAGAGTAGAGAGAGCAGAGAGAGAGAGCAGAGAGAGAGCAGAGAGAGAGTAGAGAGAGAGTAGAGAGAGCAGAGAGAGAGTAGAGAGAGCAGTGAGAGAGAGTAGAGACAGAGCAGAGAGAGTAGAGAGAGCAGAGAGAGAGAGTAGAGAGAGCAGTGAGAGAGAGTAGAGAGAGAGCAGAGAGTAGAGAGAGCAGAGAGAGAGAGCAGAGAGAGAGCAGAGAGAGAGTAGAGAGAGCAGAGAGAGAGAGAGTAGAGAGAGCAGAGAGAGAGTAGAGAGAGAAGTGAGAGAGAGTAGAGAGAGAGCAGAGAGAGAGAGCAGAGAGAGAGTAGAGAGAGCAGAGAGAGAGCAGAGAGAGCAGAGAGAGAGCAGAGAGAGTAGAGAGAGCAGTGAGAGAGATCAGAGAGAGAGCAGAGAGAGAGAGTAGAGAGAGCAGAGAGAGAGTAGAGAGAGCAGAGAGAGAGTAGAGAGAGCAGTGAGAGAGAGAGCAGAGAGAGAGTAGAGAGAGAGTAGAGAGAGCAGTGAGAGAGAGTAGAGAGAGCAGAGAGAGAGTAGAGAGAGCAGTGAGAGTAGAGAGAGAGCAAGAGAGAGTAGAGAGAGACCAGAGAGAGAGTAGAGAGAGAACATAGAGAGACAAAAGAGAGAGAAGAAAGAGAAAGACAGAGAGCAGATGGAGAGCAGAGAGAGACCAGAGAGAGACCAGAGAGAGAGAGCAGAGAGAGAAAGAACAGAGTGAGAGAGACCAGGGAGCACAGGGACTGGCCTCCTGCTGGGACTCTGAGGAGCACAGGGACCGGCCTCCTGCTGGGACTCTGAGGAGCACAGGGACTGGCCTCCTGCTGGGACTCTGAGGAGCACAGGGACCGGCCTCCTGCTGGGACTCTGAGGAGCACAGGGACCGGCCTCCTGCTGGGACTCAGAGGAGCACAGGGACTGGCCTCCTGCTGGGACTCTGAGGAGCACAGGGACTGGCCTCCTGCTGGGACTCTGAGGAGCACAGGGACTGGCCTCCTGCTGGGACTCTGAGGAGCACAGGGACTGGCCTCCTGCTGGGACTCTGAGGAGCACAGGGACTTGCCTCCTGCTGGGACTCTGAGGAGCACAGGGACTGGCCTCCTGCTGGGACTCTGAGGAGCACAGGGACTGGCCTCCTGCTGGGACTCTGAGGAGCACAGGGACTGGCCTCCTGCTGGGACTCTGAGGAGCACAGGGACTGGCCTCCTGCTGGGACTCTGAGGAGCACAGGGACTGGCCTCCTGCTGACTTTTAAGAAACTTCCAATGAACCTGAGAAAAAACAAATAATTGTAATAATATAAAAATAATAATTTTGTTGTTGCTAGAGGCTTTTTCTCTCTGTTATTATTAATCTTGTTTCATTATTTTGACTCCTTTAAGGACTAACAGAGATGGGAAGTATGGTTCTCTGCTTCAAACATGCACGGAGCTCCTCACCATCAGCCTCCACACCTGGACTTTACGGCTGCGTTTGAACAGAACAACCCTCCTCCTCCCCAACACGTGAGCTCAGGCTGGATGCCCCGCAGGGTTAAAGTGAGATCCAAGTGGCAAGCTACAAAAGATCAGACTAAAAACACAGGAACGAGCAGCAACAAAGAAAAAACTAAGTGCAAAAGTCATGGATAGAGAAGCAGGTTTAGCCGACGGAGAGTTCACCAATTAGCAGATGAAACGGTCTGGAGGACAATGAGGACCATGTGGAGATTCATGACCATCAGACCCAGACATAGCCCCATTTGTTAAACTTGAAACTGAAATGATCATGAATGGGATTTTTTACATGATCAACATTGCAAAACTTTACACAGCATCAATTCAGATCATAATTTCGTCTGGCCCGGTCTTACCATGTGTAAACTCTGGTCCATGATCATCTCCTACATGTACGTCTGGTCTTACCATGTGTAAACTCTGGTCCATGATCATCTCCTACATGTACGTCTGGTCTTACCATGTGTAAACTCTGGTCCATGATCATTTCCCTACATGTACGTCTGGGTCTGATCCTAGTGGCTGCAGTTTCCTCGGTTGAATCCTCTCTGACCAATCAGAGAGCGGGGGAGGCGGGTGTTGGTGTCGGTGACGTCAAGAGTTTGTGCTGAATTTGCTGAATAATGCCTGACATTGCTTCCGGGCACTGGGACCCCTGGGAAAAGCCATATTATCTAAGTCAGTGTTTCTCAAACTGGGGTACGCGTACCCCTAGTGGTACGCGGGCGCCCTCTAGGTGTACGCCATAGAATCTGTGAAAAAAATATTATTATTATTTTTTTTTATTTTTATTTTACCAGGAAAGTCCCATTGAGATTAACTCATTCTCAGCCATGGATGTCATTTGAGGACAACATTGTTTTTCAATCTTTTCCTGTCAGTCTGTGTCCCCTGTATCATACAGTCTGGGGTTTGGCTGTAGACAGTATTTTATTAAGCCAGCAGGTGGCAGCAGAACTCCCTGGTTTGGTCAAAGATCATTCTGAGCACTCTGAGCAGGAGAGACAGAGGTGAAGCAGACATGGAGTAATATAGTCAGGGTCAGGCTACATTTGGAGGCAGTTTGAGCAGTAAATGTGTCTCCAGAGCTGACAGAGACCATGTGGAGGGTCATAGCAGCAGACCATGTGGAGGGTCAGAGCAGCAGACCAGCGGAGCACCCCAAAAAAGCCACAGAAAAGTGGACTATTGCTAAAACTATCACTGAGTCCACACCAGGAGCCAGCAGCAAAGTCCAATTATGGTCACAGACTAAACAGACGCTCTGTAGATGTAACCACACAAAAACACACAAACGCGTGCATAAACGCACATACATGCATGCCCAAACACACAAAGACACACAGCAGTATTCTATTGCACTTATACTATAATTATAAGTATTCACTTTGATTTATTGTCATGTACAAAGAGAGGGCGTCATTTGTCAACTTCAGTCTCTCTCAGACTGAAGAGAGACTGGGCGGCACGGTGGCTGAGTGGATAGCACTCTCACCTCTCAGCAAGAAGGTCCTGGGTTCGAATCCCGGTCGGACCAGGGCCTTTCTGAGTGGAGTTTGCATGTTCTCCCCGTGTCTGCGTAGGTTTCCTCCGGGTACTCCGGTTTCCCCTACCACTAAAAACATGTCCAATAGTTCTGGCATGTGCCTCCTGTACTGGCCCCGCTCCCATCTCTGTGTGGAGTGAGAGACAAATGCCCAAAAATTAACAATTGTAAACCGCTTTGAGACTCAGATCTGCAGTGAAAAGGCGGTATTGAGAATGAGGAGTCACGTGCCGAGTTGGGGTGATTTGGGGGGGGCTCTGAGCCTGTCGGACATATTGGCTGCGCAACGGGGGCACGCCCCCAGAATTTCACGCGCTCCTCATATTCCAGAGCACTTTAAATTATACGCATTTACGTTTTCGGCGAGACAGAGACGGATCTACTGATACAACAAGGGAAAGGAAGACAGTAAAACAATGCTTAGAGATAAGGCGAAAGAGAAGGGACCGTACAGGAACAAGCTCATACCAAGCGCAAAACAGAGGTATTTGGAGAAGCTTGCGGACATCAAAAACATCGACCCATACGAGCTCCCTGCAGCGGAATGGCACAGAAACCTGGACCATTTACCTCCGTGCACATACATGGGACATAGTAAACTACCTATTACCTTATTATTTATGTTATAATTTATTTTATTATGTTGTGCATGTTTACATGCTGGAAACAGTACTTTGAATGCACACGTTGTTTTGCAGTGTTTTGTGTCCCTTTGCACTAAGAAAAGTATGACTCTTATGATCATTTTTGCCTATGCTGTGCATGTTTACATGCTGGAAACAGTACTTTGACTGCACACGTTTGTAACAAAAAAAATATTAATTTCTCAATAAATATTGGTAAACCATATCAAGTTGTTTCATGCATTTATTTAAAAATAAAAGATACAGTAAAGAATAAGGTACTCAAACAACACTTTTGCACATGTTCGTTAAGGCACAGCAAACAATGACAATCTTATCCAAAGGCATTAGGTTTTCACCCTCACATTTGACAAGCATGTGCACAGGTACAGTTGAGTGTAAGAATTTGAATTTGTTGCGCACAACACCGATCACCCTCTCCACGTGAATTCTGAGATGTGCTATGGCCCTAGTCTCCTCCACATCTTTCGCCTCAAGCTGAGCACGACCCCTGGTGAATGTAGGTATTTTCACTTCAGCACACATCATGCCCACATGTTCTCTTATATTAAAGCCTCTATCTGCCAGCACAATGTCACCTGGTAACAGCTTGTTCAGGAAACCACTTTGCTCGGTTATATGCTTGTCGCTTGTGCGCCCACCCCACCCGTTCGATATGAAGGAAATTACACCCTGGGGCGTGATCACGATTAGGTATTTCATAGTGTATGCGTGTTTGTATTGAGAAAAAGTCTGTGCCCTTGCTAGTACATTGGAAGGTTTCTCGATGAACACCTCGAAGCAGTCCACAATGGCAGCCACATTGTTCCCAAATGACTCCACAAACTGGTGTGGCATACTGGTCAATAAGCATTCCCTACTTGGCCAGTGCACCAATGGACACAGCTGTGCGTACATCACACCAAGGGTATGGTGAAAGGCATCGGCGACTGTTGTCCTATGTACTCTAAACAGATGGCTGAGGTGCTGTATTGGAAGGTCCAGTCTGAGGCGCATTAAAGTCAATAGGACAAGCTGGAAGGGTGAGAGCTTCTTCATTCTACCTTGAGGCAGATCTGGAGTTAGGTAGAGTAGAAGTGTCTGGAACAATGCAAAGTTTGGAAGCCCCGTGTAATACTTCACTGTGTTATCATCACCACTCAGAAAGTTCTCATTCATCCGGTACGTATCAAGCTCACGCTTCAGCTGTCTGTTTTCTTCAAGAAGATTGTTGATAACATCTCGTCTAGATGTGCAGAGTCCACATTCCATGTCCGGGTCAGCTGGCGGCTGGTCTAGGGCTGGCGGCGGCGGCGCCTGCGGCTGGTCTAGGGCTGGCGGCGGCGGCGCCTGCGGCTGGTCTAGGGCTGGTGGCGGCGGCGCCTGCGGCTGGTCTAGGGCTGGTGGCGGCGGCGCCTGCGGCTGGTCTAGGGCTGGTGGCGGCGGCGCCTGCGGCTGGTCTAGGGCTGGTGGCGGCGGCGCCTGCGGCTGGTCTAGGGCTGGTGGCGGCTGCAGCTGGTCTAGGGCTGGTGGCGGCTGCAGCTGGTCTAGGGCTGGTGGCGCCTGCGGCTGGTCTAGGGCTGGTGGCGGCTGCAGCTGGTCTAGGGCTGGTGGCGGCTGCAGCTGGTCTAGGGCTGGTGGCGGCTGCAGCTGGTCTAGGGCTGGTGGCGGCTGCAGCTGGTCTAGGGCTGGAGGCGGCGGCGCCTGCGGCTGGTGTTGGGCTGGAGGTGGCTGCCGCTCCAGTGGCAGGGACCTGCGCCTTACTTGCCGCTGATATCTCGCTTCATCTGTTTTTTGTACATCATTGTGGCCTAACAACAGGGATGGTGTCCAGTCAGGGTGGTTCTCCAACATCTCATATGCTGGTTTACCTACACGAGAATAATAACAACATATAATTAATATAATAATTTGCACAATCTATGTAATCAATGCTTTAAACTGGCAACTATGTCATGAACAGCATCTCAAGTACTTTTTAGGTCACCTCATAATGTCATATGAAGGTTTATGTACAACAGAATAATTAGATTATGTGTACAATCTATGTAATCTATGCTTTACACTGGCAAAGACCTCGCAGAACACGTGCTAAGTAAGAAACAGCCTGAGAGGGTAACAAAGACACAGAGACAAAGGCACTACAGAAACCATAATAACATATGCTAACTTACACTTCCTAGCTTTAAGAGACAACTACATAAATACATTTTTAGAGAACGTACCAGAGTGAAAATGCAGAGAACACACTCTCGTCAACAGGGGTGTGTGATCGAAAGTAAGGTCCTTTCTTCTAATTGCAGCCAACCAAGCAATCCGACGTCTCCTTGTCAGGTCAGAGAATTGCTCCCCTTGATGCTTTTTCCATTTCGGTAACCTAAAAAACTGTATCCCGTTGTTACTAGGTTTTCCATATCCATCGTGGGAGGTATTGGAGCAGTTTTTAACGCAGCAGTTATTTCCAGGCATGATAAAACAGTGCAGAATAGCAAGAACCTCCGCTACTACCGCGTTCACAACACACGTAAACAAACTGTACTGCCGCCACCGGTGCGCAGCCAATATGTCGGCAAAGGGGGGATGGGGAGGGGGGACTCTGTGCCGTGACGTCAACTCCTCATTCTCAATAGTTTTAAATAGAAGAAGCGGTGTGTGATGTGCATGAGCTGTGGCTATGATCAGTGCAAAGCACAGCATATTGAAGCATTGAGGACGTCGCGATGGATGAGGCAAAACTTATTGAAAGCAATTGGAAAAAGGGGAGAGAGAAAAGAACTCCAACATATCCAGTGTTGTGAGATCTGTCTCTCATAAGTGCAGCTCTGTGTGTGTGTGTGTCTGTCTGTCTGTCTGTCTGTCTGTCTGTCTGTCTGTCTGGGAGCGCGCGGCGGTGAGGAGAGAGCGCCTCGGAGGTAGACGGGACAGAAGAGCGAGGTGTATGTAAAGATTAACATTACGCGAAAAATAAATGGTAGATTTACGATCAGGAAACAATTATTTAAATTAATACATGAAAAACATTACACACGTTTGTTAATAATCATTGTCATTAACAAATACTTATAACCAAGGACTACAGCATATATCAATACATGTTTAACAATGTTGTAAATATATTATTCCATTGCATTTTCAATGGAAAACGGACCCGACACGCGTCGACGGACGGAACAAATAGGATTGTTTCTATTTCGTCCGTCCACGTCTTTTGCACCCTCCGTTGACGGAATAGGTCCGACGTGCGTTGGACGGACGCATGCGGAGGCAGTGGAGCCACTTCCATTCACTCTCATGGAGATAACGGAGACGGAGATGAAACGGACATGTTTGGACGGATCCGTCGTCCGTTTTACGCGCCCGGTGGAGTCGGGGCCTCAGCCTTAAACAGACTTAAACAGATTCATTCACTCTGATGTGATTATAGATCCAGGGTTCACTCCCGTACAGCTCCAGGCATTCTGGACGGAACAACAAGTGGACGTGAAGTGTTACGTCCAAAACTAACAAACTACTGTATATATTTTTTGCATAATGTAAAACCTATCAATTTCTTGAAAGGCATATTTTTTCTTGAAATGTTTTTGAGCCCATCTGAGCTTTGTATATCTATTAACTACATCTTTTTAAAGAATTATGAAGTACAAACATTTTTGGTTCATTCATTTATTTTATTGCCGCTTGAAGTCATATTGACGCATTGTACAGTTTAGTGCAGGTGTCTCCAACTTTTTTCACCCAGAGAGCTACTTTGCCAGGACAATAAAGGCAGAGAGCTACTCGTTTAAGCGGCCCAGGGAAAAATGTTGGCGATATATTGGTGCAAACAACCCTGGTATTGGGTTTGGTCACTTTTTATCATCGCATATTTGCTACTAGTGCACAAAGTAAGTACATTTACAATAAAAAATTATAATGAATAATACAATCTGATATATCAATATAAGTGTATTATTTGATTTGTTCATTTCTAAAATCCTTTAGCGAGCTACCTGGAAGGGGATGGTGAGCTACTGGTGGCTTCCGAGCTACAGGTTGAGTGAGGCATCTATCGATCCATTTGTTTATTTATTAATGAATGTGTTTTACTTTGACAGCGCGGCTCAGACCGGATGTGGTCTGCTCCTGCAGCGGGAGCCTTGACGCTCTCTGAGGCCAAAAGCAGCAGAGCGCAGAGAAACATGGCGACTTCGAACAATCCGCGGAAATTCAGCGAGAAGATCGCGCTGCACACCCAGAAGCAGGCGGAGGAGACGGCCGCCTTCGAGGAGGTGATGAAGGACCTCAGCATCACGCGTCAGGCCCGGGTAAGTGGTCCCCAAAGCCGCCGTGTGAACCTCTCCTCTCCGCCTCCTGCAGCGACATGACAGCTCCAGCACCGAGGAAGAGGAGGAGGACGTAAACAATAACAAACGGCTCTTCCTGTCGCCTCCTGCCCGAGAAGTGAGGCCAACCACGGGCTACGGCTGCGGACCGTCCCGGGGGGACGCAGTGCCAGGTCCCCGCGGTGTGGAGAGGGGTGTGCGCGGTTATGACAGCGGAGTGTGGGGATGTTTGGATCTGACAGAGTCTGTAATCCCACAGGCCAGAGTCAGGGTCCTGCTGCTGCTGCTGCTGCTACTGCTGCTGCTGCTGCTGCTGCTGCTGCTGCTGCTGCTGCTGCTGCTGCTGCTGCTGCTGCTGCTGCTACTGCTGCTGCTGCTGCTGCTGCTGCTGCTGATACTGCTACTGCTGCTGCTGCTGCTGCTGCTGCTGCTGCTGCTGCTGCTGCTGCTACTGCTGTTACTGCTACTGCTGCTGCTGCTGCTACTGCTGATACTGCTGCTGCTGCTGATACTGCTGCTGCTGCTACTGCTGCTGATACTGCTGATACTACTGCTGCTGCTGCTGATACTGCTGCTGCTACTGCTGATAGTACTGCTGCTGCTGCTGCTGCTGATACTGCTGCTGCTGCTGATACTGCTGCTGATACTGCTGATACTGCTGCTGCTGCTGCTGCTGCTGATACTGCTGATAGTACTGCTGATACTGCTGCTGCTGCTGCTGCTGATACTGCTGCTGCTGCTACTGCTGCTGATACTGCTGCTGCTGATACTGCTGCTGCTACTGCTGATAGTACTGCTGCTGCTGCTGTTACTGCTGCTGATAGTGCTGCTGCTGCTGCTGTTACTGCTGCTGCTGTTACTGATACTACTACTACTGCTGTTGCTGCTGCTGCTGCTGATACTGCTGCTGCTACTGCTGATAGTACTGCTGCTGCTGCTGTTACTGCTGCTGATAGTGCTGCTGCTGCTGCTGCTGCTGCTGTTACTGCTGCTGCTGTTACTGATACTGCTACTGCTGCTACTGCTGCTGCTGCTGCTACTGCTGCTGCTGCTGTTACTGCTGCTACTGCTGCTACTGCTGCTGCTGCTGCTACTGCTGCTGCTGTTACTGATACTACTGCTGCTGCTGTTACTGATACTACTGCTGCTGCTGTTACTGATACTACTACTGCTGCTACTGCTGCTGCTGCTGCTACTGCTGCTGCTGTTACTGATACTACTACTGCTGCTACTGCTGCTGCTGCTGTTACTGCTGTTACTGATACTGCTGCTGCTGTTACTGCTACTACTACTACTGCTGCTGCTACTGCTGATAGTACTGCTGCTGCTGCTGTTACTGCTGCTGCTGTTACTGCTACTACTACTACTACTGCTGCTACTGCTGCTGCTGCTGATGATATTACTGCTGCTGCTGCTACCCCTACTGCTATTGCTGTTTTTGCTTACTTATGGCAAGCTTATTTGTATAGCACAGTTCATACACAAGGCCAAACAAAACAAGAAACGATACAAGGCGTTAAAATCATAAATAATCACAGTACATTAAATGAATGAAAGTAAAATCCTTCAGTTGTTGCAGCAAAACAAAACTGGATTTGAACATTGTTATTCATAAAGATCAGGTTGTAGACCCAGGTCTGAGGCTGTAGACCCAGGTTTGAGGCTGTAGACCCAGGACTGATGCTGTAGACCCAGGTTTGAGGCTGTAGACCCAGGTTTGAGGCTGTAGACCCAGGACTGATGCTGTAGACCCAGGTTTGAGGCTGTAGACCCAGGTTTGAGGCTGTAGACCCAGGTTTGAGGCTGTAGACCCAGGTTTGAGGCTGTAGACCCAAGTTTGAGGCTGTAGACCCAGGGCCGAGGCTGTAGACCCAGGACCGAGGCTGCAGACCCAGGACTGGCTGTAGATCCAGGACTCAGGCTGTAGACCCAGGACAGAAACAGGTGCTCGTCCACACTGTGACTGCAGCTTTGACCGTTCCCGAGCCACAGTTTGAGAAACCCTCTGAAGGTCCCGAGTGTTGGGACTTTGAGCTGGGACAGTGTTGTTTTATAACTCCCACGATCACCCGTTCTTACCACGCACTGAGAGTGTGATTCTCCTTTTTCTTTCTATAATCCAATCTTTCGGTCGCTGCCGTGAGATGTTTGTTTTTCTCAAGGACAAAGTCTTTAGAACCACAACAAAAAGAAATATTCGATTCTTACGGGTTATATTTGCCTGTGAGTTAGTTCTTGGAAAGCACTATAGGCTCTGGTTGATGTATTTTGAGTCTCGTTGATGTATATTTTCAAGTTTGATAATATGGAATCGTAAATACATCCCATTTTTTGATTAATTTTGTTTAAAAAATGTCTGTCATAAACGATATATTACTTTCATTCTCATAACAGAGACTTGTAAGTGTGACATTCTCTGAACTAATTAAATGTATTTTTGTATAGCTCTAAATCACCGCAGTATAGGGATCTTATGACTGTCCCGTTTTCTTTTATATTTGAACATTTGTTAAACGTTATTTAATATGCATTGTTCCTCCTTCATCTCTCAAATAAATAAAACACAAGCCACAATGAAAGGCTCGGCCGCGCACTGTTTACAGGTTAGCATTAGCTACAAGTTAGCTTGAATACATATTTAAATCAACAGTCTGTAAAACCAGACAAAATGTTTTATCAGAACTGCACGGCTTTTCCCACAGCTTCAGTTGGTCTTCGGGAAACATAAAAAATGAGAATGCGTCGCGTAAACTTTGATTACAGCCGATAACAAAGCAGAGAATTTTGCACAGTTCCATTAAAGCGCCTCTTCCAACAGCTGGAGGTTTGTTTATATCCGAGCAAAGAACTGCTTCTGGGACGAGACTTTTATTGGTCCATAAGCAGCAGATGACCAATTTTTTTCGAATCATTTCAATTCTTGTACCATAAATATTACATGTCGGAAAAGTAGTGTGTTGTGTTATCTTTTGTGTACTTGCCAGAAAGATCCCGGTGAGATATGACTTGGTTTGTGCTGCGAGCTGATTGGCTGGCTGAGCGTGGACCTCTCTTTTGTACTTATCTGTCTGAAAAAGCTGATCTAAAGATGTGACAGAGGCCAAAGTCTATGCGTGTGATACTAGTGATAGAAGAAACTGTTTTAGAGCCAGCTAAATGTTAGATGGAGGTTATTACTGAAGGTGTGACGGCAAAAAAATCAATTAATACGACTATTTTTGGACCGTGTGGGTATGACGTTGATACCACAATGTTCAAAAAGTGTCATGATGTGTGTAGAAGCCTTGTTGATGCAGAATTTTTGAGAACTTGGCGTAGAAGTGAAAGTGTGCAGTCCTGGATCCACGCTGAAAAGAACTGTAAAACAAAATAATTAGTCATAAATATTCATTATTTTAATATTATTATTATTATTACTAGTCCATTACGTTGGTTTAATCACATATACAACGTAAATAAAGCATCTGTTTGCATAGTGTTAGCTTACCGTTAGCATCACGTTAGCTTACCGTTAGCATCACGTTAGCTTACCGTTAGCATCACGTTAGCTTGGCTTTAATTCAAGCCATTTAGTATAATTTGGAAAAGTAAAAAAGGAAGTTGTGTATTTACAAATGGTGGGAATAGCAAAACTACAACTATATTACTGGAGCTAAAGTGAGTTTCTGTAACGTAAAAGAAGTTCTCTAATCAAAAAGGTTGGAGACGCCAGGTCTAGTGTCACAACCACCTGACATGCTGCAATACCACCCCGGGCCTGTGGGGGTGGACCCGGAATAAGAATTAGCCAATGCTAACATATAGCGTTGGCAGTCCTCTCGAAAAGACCTTTACAGGATGGTCCAAAAGTTGGGTCTTGGCCCATAGCTCCGTTCCACATGTGTGTCAGTGCTGAGGGAGTGTTCTGGACCAGTCTAGTTTAGTCGCTGTGGACTTTTTGAAGTCACTCGTTTAAATGAATGGAGCTCGTCCAGCTGACGCATGCGTTTTGGACACAGCCACAGATGCAGTTTTTCACATTTTCCAGCCCCCGCGGCCATTTTGAATCACTCCATGAGAACCCAATTTAGTAGTTATAATAGTTCTAATAATAGTTAGAACGGAGGAGATGGGCGTGCACAACAGTAAATATCACAATAGAATGCTCTACAGTATTGCTCTACAGGGCGGCACGGTGGCTGAGTGGATAGCACTCTCAGCAAGAAGGTCCTGGGTTTGAATCCCGGTCGGACCAGGGCCTTTCTGAGTGGAGTTTGCATGTTCTCCCCGTGTCTGCGTAGGTTTCCTCCGGGTACTCCGGTTTCCCCTACCACTAAAAACATGTTCAATAGTTCTGGCATGTGCCTCCTGTACTGGCCCCGCTCCCATCTCTGTGTGGAGTGAGAGACAAATGCCCAAAATTAACAATTGTAAACCGCTTTGAGACTCAGATCTGCAGTGAAAAGGCGGTATATAAATACTTACTCACTTACTTACTTACTATTGTTTTAATTGCGTGCACAAAGTATCGCAATACTGAACAGAATAAATTTCTTCCCCACCACTATTAACAACATAAAGTCACCAAACAGCATCTCAAATCGACACTACGGCTTATTCACACGACCAGCGCGGATGGTCCTCTCCGGCAGTGGGTAGAACGGGTCAAGTGCTGGGTTGTTGTGACACACCAGCCCAGTCACACGGCGCGAAAGGAGAAGGATCACAAAATGCCTGTGTTGAGAACGCCGCCGTTAGCGTAGCCTCGTCCAAATGGCTTCAACCAACCACAGCCGGTGACTTTCAGACGTTCAGGCTCGCACTCGGTCCAGTAGGGCTAAATCCAGAGCTCATCTGTCTGCTGTAATCTCATTTACTGCAACAACTCAATTAACAGGACTATTCTTGGACCGTGTGGGTGTGACATTGATACCGCCATGTTCAAAAAGTGTCATAATGTGTGTAGAAGCCTTGGGGATGCAGAATTTGTGAGAACTCTGGGT